GTGTGTCTCTTTAGACTACATATTAATGAGTCCTACTTTTTTATCCATTTTGTCACTCTCTGTGTCTTTATGGGTGCATTTAAGCCATTTACGGTCACCGTGATTACTGATACATGTGAGTTTATTGCCGTCATTTTGTAGTTTTTTGTTACTCTTCTGTGCTGAATTCCTTTCATTTGTAGATTTTTTTCGTTTCTTTCATTTTCGTAGATTTTGTGTTTACTAAGACTTTATGTTTTTATTCTTTATTTTGATGAATAGGTTTGTTAACTTTCTTTGTGGTTACCTTGAAAATTACCTCTACATTCCCAAGTTGAAACCAGTCTTTTATTACTTGACAATGTGTTGACTTCCTCTCCATTTATAAGTTCTATACCCACACCGTTTATTCCTTCTTTTATTGTTCTGACGTTGTTGTCATTTACAGATTGCCATCCCTGGTTCTCTGTTGTAAATCTTTTAGTTTTATCTTTGAGAGTTTATTATCTAGGTTGGTATCTGGTTGATGCTGTCTTATGTGCTAGATTCAGGTTGTTGTCTGATGTAGGTTCCCTAACTGAAGGACTCCCTTTAATAATTCTTGTAAGTCTGGTTTGGTTTTTATGTATTCCCTTAATTTCTGTTTATCTGGAAATGTCCTACTTTTGCCATCATATTTCAGCGAGAGTTTTGCAGGATATATTATTCTTGGTTGGCAGTTTTTTTCATTCAAGATTTTATCTGTGTCATGCCATTGTCTTCTTGCCTGCATAGTTTCTGCTGAGTAATCAGAGTTTAGTCTTACTGTTTTCCCTTTGTATGTGACTTTTCGTTTTTCTCGAATTGCTCTCAGGATTCTTTGTCTCTGGTTTTAGCAAGTGTAATTATGATATGTCTTGGTGTTTTTCTTTTGGGGGTCTATCCTATATAGGGTTCATTGAGCTTCTTGGATAGTCAGGTTTTCATCTTTCATAATATTAGGGAAGTTTTCTGTCAGCAAATATTTGATAATCCTCTCGAAGTTTTCCATCTTCTACCCCTGTTCTGGAACTCCAATCACACACAAATTTTTGCTTTTGATTGTATCTCACATCACTCTCAGGGTTTCTTCATTCTTTTCTCTGATTTTTCCTCAAAGTGGTAGCCAAGGATTTGTCTTCAATTTCATTGATTCTGTCTTCCACTGTTTCAAATTTGCTCCTAAACCTTCTACTGCACTGTCCATTTCTGAAATCTTGTTGCTTACCTTTTGGATTTCTAATTGCTGTATTTGTATGATTTCTAGTTGTTTATTTTAACATTATGTTTCTGTATTATTTCCCTAATTTCTTCCATTATTTTGTCTGTCTTTTCCATGATTTTGTCTATTTTTTCCTTGTTTTCTTCTGCATTTTCCTTCTTCTGTTGAAGAACCCTGAATATTAGGATTCTGAATTCTCTATGAGGTACTTCTAGTGTCTTTTCTTCTAGCAGAAGGTCATCTGGTATTTTATTTTTGTTGCTTTATGGAGCCATCCTGTC